CCCCTTCAAGTCATCACAATGCTAAACAAGGAGCAAGACAACAAAAACAAGCCCAGTAAAATCCCATGAAAAATAGGGTATGGAGAGGGCGTGTGTCCGCAAACCTTACCCCTACTATGAAATAGAGAGACTGTTTCCAAGAGACACCCGGCTCAGATACAGAAGCATGAACAAAGACAAAAGAAGCACACAGTGGCTCTAAGAACCACATATAAAGCACAAAGTACAGGCTAATGCAAAAAACACACCTTCATAAACTAAAACTAAGACCCAACAAGACAAACAAAAACAAAAGACAAACCTGATTACGAAGAAGGAGCCATCCCAAGCCAAAGTAGACAGCCCCAAATGGAATGATAATGGGAGCAATGACCGAATAGCAGAGACATATTGTGAGAATCAGCATGTCGCCCGGAAACCTAGTCGCGTACCCTAAATCCCCAGGACTGCTCCATGCCTCCTTGATCTCAGCTTCAGTTTTGCACAGATACTTCCTCTTTAAATGGAATATTACTAAAGGAACTAGTCTAGACAGCTCAAGCCCATACCCTACAAAGAACCTGTGATCCAAAATATACCATGAGAATCAAAGTTGCAAACATTAAAAAAACATGACTCGATTGCGACTAGTTTGGAACTAGTAGGATTAGAACAATATTTGGGGAAATATTCTCAGGTTATCTACAAGGTAGGCCGGTATATAGTATATATAAAAACCCACGAGCGAGAAACTCTATATGGAAACAAACTCTACGAGTAACTTCAATTATATATAATCACTACCCATAATAACACAATATACATCAAATAAGTAATGCTTTGTTTCCTTAATTATATTTCCTTAGCAGGAATATTTCGTTTTTATAAACAAAACATTAAATAGGATGGAAGTTCACTTTTTTTGTTCAAATAGGACTCATATTTCGAGAAAAAAATAAAAATTTTAAACATGACCCTTCTTAGGGGACGAAAGGACTGCAAATTTCAATGTTATGCAATTGTCACTACACATGGCGTGTGATGAAATCCCTAGTTTTACCCTCTAGAAAGTGGGCAATATTTATAGAAGTTGTGCAAGTGGATCAAATGTCAAATCATGAAAAGGTAAAAAAGCTAGCATAGTTCAAAAAAAAAGGAAAGTGAACTTATTTGTGAGATGAACATGAAAAGAAATTAGGAAATTAACTAACAAAAGAGAGGAGAGAAAATTTGAGCATTACTTGAGAGCCACATAGGTGAGGAAGAAAGTCGCACTGCCAGGGAGACTATCTGCCAGCAAAGGAACCAGCTTGTTCGGATCTTTCTCGATAGATTTCAGTGTATCGAAAAGGGTGGACCCCACCGTGACACCAATGAAAACGTTAAGAACACTGAAATAGAAATACTTCCCGGAAGCGGCCCTCGTGGCATGGCTCTGCGAAGGAATCCCTTCAGCCTTGGACAAGAACAAGAGGAACTTGGGAAGCAAAGCCAAGAATGCAATGAGAGCAAGTTGAGGCAAGTAGGCTTCTAGCACTGTCTTGATCGCTGTTTGTTCCACAATCGGCTTCAAAAATGGGAGGAATTTCACCAAATTCTTAAGGGTTGTAAGTGCCGAGACGAAGCCGATTGGGATCATGTAAAAGAATATTGTAAGAAAGACAATGACATAAACAACATATTGGCGAACTATCCTCTCGTAAAAGTTTTTGTGAAGATTAGTCCAAAGAACCTGACGGGGTTCGGGAGCACCCATCACAGTCCACGTGTCAACCATCGGGGAATGCAAATTCTGCGCTGCTGATGTGGCAGTAACTCTGCTGTTGAAAAAGATGATGGCAGCACATTGCTGTCTCTCTTTAAGAGTGACCTTCTGTTCAGCTTCTAATTTTGATGTCAACTCTTCGATTTTCTCGCTATAGAAATCTATTGAATCTACCTTTTTACCAAGAATGCCAAGGAAACCTGTTCTATTCGTGGGTCTTTCACCATTTGGTTTCTTCGTCATTTCTGCACGTTCGAGCTTCTTCTTGTACCCAATTAACTCTTCATAGATTTTATTAACCTTGCCGTTGTCAGTGACCAGTATGGATCGGTAAAAGGTGTCTGGGTAGATTGCGGTAAAATAAGAGTCGACCTGTTCCTTCCTGGATTGATCCTGAAGAACAGGAGGAATGTCTCGGACAAGAACAGCAAATTGTTCGGGTCTAACCTCGGAAGACATCAGAGCTTCTTCTCTCAAACCCGCAACATGTTTGTATGCTTTCCATAGTAGGTAATATGCAGCAAACGAAACCCAATATGTGGCTACCATAAAAGCCCATAGTCGTGGACTGTTTTTCTGCAAAGACGAGTACCGAATTAGAAATGGCAATCAATCTAGGAAACTTAGTCCAAATCCCCCTGACAGATAAACAAGCCATAAGAAACTTACTCCAACATGCCCCATAGAAAGCTTATCGAGGTCGTTGAAAGTCCCTTCACTGGTGGTATTGTCTAACCTCACACTATGATCACTCGAAGCTACCGGGAGAAGTACTGGCAGCAAAATAAGGCCCGAAATCACCAATATCCCTAAAGCTGCAGTAATGACAAAAAATTAGAACGTGTCCCGGTAGGGCTCCATTCTCCCTATTGATGATGATTCAAGTGCTGCTTTCCAAAATCTAAACTTCATATAAACTCACTACCATTCCGGTTTACATCGAAAAAAATCCAGACCATGCCAACCTACCCCATTATGAAAAGTTGTGGAACTTTTGAAGTTTCTTGCAAGACAGGCATTTAACACCAAGTTTGGAGCTCTTTAACATAACTCCCATCAATTCTGCTTCCCATACATAGACACCTACCTAAGACTCTTAAGGCTTTATAATCTCTGAGCAGTTCGATATTTGAAGAATTAGTAATTGAAAAGACAAAAGAAAATATTATCTGCTATTTTAACTGTCTGTTAAGTATAATTTGCTGCGAATGAACACTGATAACCACATCCTACTGAAGCAACAAGATAAAAAATCTCTCCAAATTTCAAAGAAATTCTTTTAGAAAACAAAACAAAACTCCAAAAAAAAAATGAAAAAATTGATTTAATTAAATTGTTACCAGAAAAAATTTATTAAAAACATTGTTACCAGTAGTGAGGAAGACAAAGTAGACAGCCGTATCAACGCCAGACATTCTGATGATATCAGCTTCAGTGGAAGAGAAGGCCTCCCGGATCCAGGCAAACGGGTTCCGGGTCGCATACCCGTTTTCGACCGGATCCAATCCTTTCAGCATCCGGTTAGGGTAGTAAACGACGGCGTTCCCGGGCTTCCTCGAGAGCCACGTGAAGACGAGCATCAGGATCACGAAGATCACGAACGACGTCCCCAGGGACGTCAAGAAAGAACTGAAATCCATGCCGGGTCGGGTCCGGGTCTACAAGAAACCCAACAATTCCTCTTCAAAATCCAAACTTTTTCCTATCTCCCTGCGGGATCCAGCCAGGGGAACCTGGGTTTGCCGTTCTCTTGAAGCTTTGCCGTGCTGTTAATGGGCAGGCATCTAATTTATTAAAAGATGGAGCATTAATTATGGTAACCGTTGGAAGAAAGGGACAGGAAAGGCCAGAAGAAATGGGATTGGATTTGAATCACAGTTTGGATAAGGTTTCATGTAAGAACATCTTTCTCAGTCACTCCATGATTGCTTTTTGATGAAACGGGCATGAGAATTACGTGTTTGAAGGGTGTGAGATCATCGGGAAACTCTGCAAGAGTGCTTTTCTTGCCTTTCAATTTTCAGCTTTTAATGCAAGAAAGAAAGAGATACTTGATTTGGCATTTTGTGGGGAGGGATGTCGGCAAATTGGAAAAGATACTTGAAGTAAAGACCAAACCTCGCTATCCCTTCAAATAGATGAGGTTCTCTTCAAATTTATTGTCCCAAGTCACTCCCAACCTATATTTGAAAGATTTACAACACTCGTACAAAATATTACTCCATCCGTTCTAAAACTTTCTTTCTGGTTCGCAAAACGAAAAAAAATTCTAAATTTTTTCAATCTATTTTATTTAAATATTGGTATAGGCCATGAAAAAACACAAATAAATATTTAAATACTACTCCCTCCGTTTGCAAAAAGACTTCCCATTTTGATTTGGGGCAAAAATAAGGAAGTGTTAAATTATAGTTGATTTCCAATTTTGCCCCTGATGTGATGGATAAAAGTAAGATGTGATAGATAGATTATTAGAGAAAAAGTATGATGTGATGGGTAAGGTATGAAAAATTAAGGGTAAAAGTGGTTTTTTAATAGAAAGTGGAAGTGTTTTGTTGGAAGTGGAAAAAATGAAAGAGGAAGTGTTTTTGAGAACGGAGGGAGTACATCAGAATTTCAACAAAACAAGTGGTGACAAGAATATTTTATTTTATCATATAGGCCATGAAAAAACACAAATAAATATAAATTCCCGTGAAGTTGGAATAGTGCTCTGGGAAGAAAGTTTTAGGACGGAAGGAGTAGTTTAGTTGTAAAATTTTACACTATTATTTTGTGTTAATGTTAGTCATTAATCTTATACTTACACTAATACAAAGGTAAGTAAAAATCTTTGAGCGCATGCAAACAAACCAAAGTTATCGAGATAGTATAGTAAATAGATGAATCATTTTGGGCGCATCATTGATTGTTATTTTAGTTCTCAGGTTCCCCAATAAGTTTTGTTGAATGATTTGCGCGCATCATTGATTGATATTTTAGTTTTTAATTTTTTTTGCCAAACCTTAAATATACTTTGGCAAGAAAGTATGAGAAAATATATAGTACTTAATCATTTTTAAATTTAATATAAGTTCAGTTTGAGATTGAGTTTTAGTATATAATTTTTTAACATTAATTTATTCAAACTACTCGTACATTTATTGAAGGTGTGTGTAGCAGTTTGATTAAAAAATCAATTGTAAAAAAATAAGATCGAGGGAAAATCTAAATATATAACCAACTTGCTTAAAGGGTAAAATAAAATAAAAAATTGAAAATAAATGAATATAATCATACGTAGAGCGCATAAGTCTAATAAGTAGACTTGGTCAAAAATCATCACCAATTTCAAATAAAATCAGTTTCAAGTCTATATAAATCGGGTATGGATGTATTTTTTCTAGTTTCGGTTAAATTCAGATCATTTCATATATTTTGTTCTAGATAAGATCTTTACTTTTATAGAACTCCTATATAGCTCGGTGTCATATTAAACCACTGATCGTTGGTGTCAAAAGAAATCGATGTAAGTGAACTTTAATTTTAAGAAAACTACAACCACATCCATGAACAAAGGTTTGCACACCAAACCCGAGGACAACTACGTCCATTTTTTTGTACGTAGAACGTTTGAAGAGAATGTTATATCATTGGATTGGAATTCACTCATTGCAGCTAGAAATGAGACGATTACAGCACCGCTCTTTGTGCCATTCACAAATAGGAATGTATCAGGTCCCGAATAAGTTCGGGACCAGGACAGGCCGATTACTATTTTCCGTGTTTTCTTACAAAGCTTATAATAGTAAGATTTTCTTACAAAAATGATATCCCCATACCTCTGTTTACTTTTTTAAAAAAATGTGACACCCTTGACAAGAGCACTGATGATGGAACCCTAAAACAGAGAACCCAAAAAATGCCAACATGATTGACACTTGAATGCCGAATCGAATTCAACAAGCAGATCCACCTGCAGAGAAACCCACAAACGAAAACGAAAAATTTGCGCAAATATGTGATTCAAAGAGTGGCATTTTGCTGCATCAATCTAGAAGTTGCAGCAGCGAACCCGGCCGTTGAGCAGGTGGTCCCACATGCACTCCATTTGCCGTGGAGACTGGTAGTGCGCGGTGAAGTAATTATCTGTGCATCCGTACTGGCAAAATTTCCAGCTGTGGGAGTACTGAACCGGGTTCGTGCTGTTGTACTTCTCAACCCACATTCCCATGCTCACATCCTCCATTTTGAATAGCTGTCAATTTTGGGATTTTAGAATGCAGCAAAGAAGAAGAAGAAGATATATGTATTTGGCAATGTCACAAACCCGTAAACTGTTATTGAGATGCTGAGAGGATATGTATTTGGCAATGTCGCTAGAAATAATGTATCCGGGCCCATTTGCATAGGGAGGGTATACATCTTCTGGCCACTCCTGTTACATAAAGTTGTCTCGTAAGTGGGGTTTGGGGAAGGTGGGTGTACGTAGATCTTACCTCTACTACCCTATAAAGGCAAAGAGGCTGTTTCCGAGAGACATCTTAGAACAATCAAATATAAAAGTTTCCCAAAGGTTTTTTTAAGTAACTTTTCACCGTGAAGTAATGCAGCAGGTAAAGTGTCTGTTTTAACCTCAGATTACCTCAACAGTCACGGCCCATTTCCCGTTTCTCAGAGGTCGATGTAAGAGATTCAGATTCCCCATGTAAAGAGGCTTTGCAGGAGGAACACGGCCTATTTCTTGAAGAACGGCGTCTAGTCTTACAAAATTGTCATCGTCACATTTCATTATGTAAGCGGCACTCACATTTTGAACCTGCAACAAGTATTTGGGCACATGAGTTGAACAACGGGACACAAAGGGTAGGGAGAAAGAGGTCATTTTACGTGGGAACCAGGCCGTTGCTTACTCCAAACTCACAAATGGAGAGAGTCTTGAGAACCACTAGCTCATATCTGTCTATGAATGGCAAGATCACAATGTCCCCGAAAAACGCAGCTTCCTTTTTTAAAATTCCATTCAACTCCTTCCGTGGATTCTACATATAAACGAATTGCATCCAAATGAAGAAATCAAATCGTTGAAGCATACTTTTTCCAGTTTAGTTTGCCTAGGGAAAGAACTATGATATTCATTGCCAAATACTTCAGCATCTTGGGAAAGCTTTAAATGTCCGAATTCGTTCAGTTCCACGGTGCTTAAATGAAAGGAAAGATCATTACTTGGTGTGTCTATTTGCTATAACATAAATGCAAGACATTTGGCAAATAAATGGAATGAAATATCATTCATTGAGAGACAAACAAGAACATTTAGTAAACAAACGATCACAAGCATCTACAAGTCCTTAACACATGTTCAGTTAGAGGGCCCCTCATGAAAGTTGCAAAGTGAGAAACTCACCAATGCAACGAAGAAACGGGCCACCACATATGAGGATTTGATTGCTAGAGACTGCATCCAAGTTTTTCTTATGGCCATTCGTTCCGCAAAGTGATTAGTGGCCGATAAAATTCCAATAAAAATGCGGATGGGATTGAGGGGTAAAGGGAGAGACTTCCATTTTTCAGAGAATTCCAATACTCTTTGGGGTGAGAAGCTCGGATGAGAAGTTGGCAGAGAGGTAGCGAAAACCGAGTGAACTTCAACATCACCTCTAACAGCCAATCCTGTTGCATCTTCCAGTGTGAAGCCCTAATAAAAAACAATCCACATCTAAGAAAACTGCAATATATGACATTCAAACATTTTAGGCAGGTTTTAACAGTCAACACTTTATATACTTTTTATTAACATGAAATGAAGAAAATAAACTATATCCAAGGGATTCCAAGGAGGAGATTAAGAGCCTAAACTGGCTGAACTTGCTGAAAAAATGGCCGAAAGCCAGAAACTAATAAATTGTAATTGTCTAAAATATTTATTTATAATGTTTGTTTTAAATACATTAAAGAGCCTTGGGATCAGCTTCCGTACTTCCAAGTAGGGGTAAGGTCTGTGTACACACACCCAACTCTTGTGGGATTTTTCTGGGTTTGTTGTGTTTATTGTTAAAATAAATGGATTCATTCAAGGCCACTGTAACTTTTAAGGTTCTCTAGAGAAAGTTAAAACTAGTTACAAGAATGTTCTTGCTTTGGGTGCATACAAACATACCGTCCGATATGGAAATGAAGAGAGATGCCTTCCACCAACCGTTATATGAAACCCATCAATGCCAGCACGGACAGTAAGAATAAACATTTTACCCTCCACAAAGGGAAATGGCCACGTCAACTCTGGTTTCTTCGCTCGTCCTATAAACCGATCAAACCAAGAGAAGATTTTGGACTCTTTTGAATCAACAATGTCATTGCGCATCCACTTTTCACATCTCAGGTGACCGTCAACTGCAATAAGCGGATTAAAGAAGCAGAATGAAAGATTTAGTCAGAGCTGTATCCCACTAGGTGGGGTCGGCTACATGTATAAAACGATGCCATTGCGGCCTATCACAAACTAGTCAATTTAACATTGTAAGAAAAGTATGAATCGTTGTGTCAACAGACATAGCAAATGTGAAATTTCAAAACTAATTTTTGATATGATAATCACTACCTCTACCAAAAAAAGAGTCATAGTTCTAATTTTCCAAATTTATAACATTTAATACAAGTGAGGGATCTCTTCTACAGAGATTAAAAAAGATGGAAGACATATTAATTGACTTTTGAGTTCCTATTTCCTAAAAATGGTACTCCGTATTATAAAAAACTTTCCTTTTTGAAGTATTTTAAATGTTTATAACCTTTAAGAGATGAACAAATGACCTATGGTCTTTCATTATTCTCAAACAAACAGGAAAGAAAAAAGAGGCACATGTACGCCAATTTTCTACTTTCACTCTGTTGGTTTAAAATAGCACATCCGTACGTTGCATAAGCTCATAACGCTAGCTTCTAGGAATCCAAGTGACTTTGTCCATATAACAATGCTAAATAATCCAACATTCTCCAACATAGCATTCATTCTAATCACATTTTGGGGCTAACAAATACGTAGTATCTGATATTCAAAATAGAAGATATATTACAAAGAGAATATGCATATATGCAATAATAACAAACTCAAAAAACTCTTACCAAGCATGTCCTCATCACTTTTGGAAGGTATACCATCACACCTGTGGGCTGTACCCCATTGCATTCTGTAACAGGTATTGTGCTCAATTACCGGTCGATCGCTCCAATCCCCTTTCAATCGAGGGTTCAGATGCAAAATCTTTGGTGGGTCCTCCCCAACCACAGACTTCAACCCTTGCAATTCAAACATAAACTGGGAGACCATAGCAAATGCATCGCCGCGGTTTTGCTTAGCAAGCTGAGGTACATACTCACGATGCGCGTATCTTGGAGTGGCAATCACTGTGACAGAAGAACCTGACGAAAGCCCACACGGAAGGAGCATAACACCATCCCCATCAGCCAGCTCCAATCCAGTGGCAGTGATGGAGGAGGGGCACGACTCGGGCATCCCCTCAATCACAGAATTCATCATCATCTCCTTCTCTTCATACCCATCTGCTTCTTCCCATGCCTTCAAGCCTAAACTCCAAGCTTCATCTGCCATTCTGTCAAACACAGAAAAATTACCGTCCACGCGACTTCTGTTCAAGATTGCAATCACTATTCGGCCATAGTTGAGCCTGCGAGGCTCCACGCGACTCGAATCACTGCTATTGTCAATATTTGCATCACTTCGCAGAATCCGGGGATAGTCATCCCTATTCACAGAACCCAAATGCAGTTTCTTTACTTCTTCATCACCATCTTCCTCCCCGGAAAAGAACAAATCCAAACTCCTGTCAGTGTCTCCATCGCCACTGCTCAAATGTGTGGCACTCTCAAGAAACTCCGGGAACTTGAGGAAAATGAGAATCAAGTAAAATCCAGCTAAACCCAACAAAATATACGACATTCTGAATCTCCTCGTGCTGGGTACCTCATTTTTTGACCTCTTCATTGCTAGACTCATAGATTTCTCGAAAACTCAGTACCTATGCTGAAAAAGAATCCGACCCATTTCTTATACACTCCAGAAAAGTCGGACTGAACACAGAGAAATCCAAAATATTGCTCCAATTAGGCCATTATTGTGCTGTAACGTGTAAAATCTGTGCACGGGATATTTGGAAAGGAACAGAAAACATCGATCTAGGGAGATGGTCACGGTCGGAGAAATCCAATTTTGCTGAAGAAACGGGTTCTTGCCAGTCGCCAGCACGGAAGTCAAATAAAAAAATGTGATGTTTTGGGCCTGAACTGAAGGGCTTCTACCCTGCGATTGGGCGGAGGGAAATTTTATGCTTTTGTGTTGGACTATAAAAACAAAGTTAGATATTGGAAAATTTTGAATTTTTTTAAAAGAAGATTAGAAAAAATTTGAAGAAATTAAAAGATACAAAAATTAGTTTGAAAAAATTGGAAGGATGTATGAACACTTATTCTTTTTACATATGCTTGGAGCATTCAAAGAACGAAAAAGTCTATTGATATTAAATTTATAGCATAATTCAATGTATTTTTCCAATAATGTATGGTCAAAATTTTAAAATGTTGACTTGAAAACTACTTAAAAAAACATACTTCGTATCTAAGAAATATTTCAAAATCATAAAAGGAATAATAAATTAAGTAATCTCCATGAGAGTGTAAAAGATGTCTAATGCCTAAAACAAAAGTGTTGATTGTTTTTTCACATTCATACAAATTGGCTGCCTAATTGTGCTAGAGAATATACTTCTTCAACTTCACACATCCCTCATATTATAAAAAAAATCCCTTTCTCATTGGTTAGCAACTCCTTCAGCTTTTTTCATAACTAATTTCAATCATGTACGAACACAAGCCACGATGAAGGAGCGCTGGGAAGATCTGTAGGGGCAGTGAGACATATACCGCGACGACGTGACGACCATAAGTCCACTAGGGGCAGGATAGTGATCCATAAAGCTATTGCGAGTTTGGGTTGCGAGAAGTTTTGGATGCGGGAAAAATAAATTTTAAGTTTTGGTAGTGTTTTGAAATTGATGGCGTAACTCTGCGCGTATGTAGTTGATGCTGTGGAAGTGTGATAGCAGTGTGTCGGTGACAATAACGATGGTAGTGTGGTGACGGTGCAACGGGGTGAATCTAAGTTTTAGGGTATGGGGTAGTCCCCCCGTCAAATATTTTTTGTTTAAAATATATATTGTTAATAAATAATTTTAATTTGTTTAAAAATTAAAAGAAAATTATAGTTTGAACGTGAAAAAGTACTTTTATTAAAATATAAAGTGACACCACTGCAATTTGTACAATTAGCTAACATGTAGTAAGATTTGCATTGGTTATAGTGGCTTAAAGGCTGTTTGTTTCAGCCTCTTAATAGTTCAGATGTCTGAATGGTTCAGTACTTAATGATTCAGACTGTTTGTTTCAGCCTCTTAATGGTTCAGAGGTCTGAATGGTTAAGAGATTTGCCTCTGAATGGTTAAGTATTATACAGAGTCTGAATGGTTAGGACCTCTTATCTGAATTGATCAGACATTTGCCTCTGAATAGTTAAGTAATATACTAGCTCTTAATGGTTCAGACCTCTTACTGGTTCAGCACTTAATGGTTCAGACCTCTTACTGGTTCAGCACTTACCTATTCAGAAGTTGCCAAACAGCCTCTTAGTTGGTTTTGTGTTCAATTTTCTGCCTTGGGTAGCATGGGTATGACTGTATGAGCTCCATAGTGGATTAAAAAAGGGAAATTTTTCCAAATAGTATTAAAATATAGCGACTTTTATAATATAGTACTATATGTTTTTATTTGCAAAAAAGACTAAAGTAGAAGTAAAATATTGAAAATATATAAAAATAGAACTTTCATGTTTTTATTTCCGAAATAGGAGTTAAAATTCATTACATTACCAAACATTGTCAAATAATTATCAAAAAGTATAGTAATGTGCACATGTACAGTGTCACATTACAACCACATTACCACAATGCAAAGTTCTATTTCGAAAATAAAAACATGGAACTCCTATTTGATACTTTTTTCTATGTTTTAGTCTTATTTAGGGTGATTACTATTTTTATTTCCCAATTTAGTACCACTGGTCATTGTTTAAGTAAATGTCCATCGCCACTAGACATTGTTCAAACTAAGTGTCCATCATCACTGGACATAATTTCCGCCACTGGACATTATTCAAGTACTATTTAGGGAATAAAATGGTTTAAGTACTGCATTGGAAAATAACATACCCCCTCCATCCGAGAAAGAGATGGACATATTGACTAAAGTGGCAAAATAAGGGATGGATAATTTTGTGTTAACTTTACAAAAATACCCTTTATGTGATGGGTAAAAGTAGGATGTGATGTAACATCCCAAAACATACCCTAAAATTATTATTGAATTATTATCCAAGTGAACAAATTTATTTTGAAGAAAATAAATTATTTTTGGGCTTTGGGGCAAAATGAAATGTGTTTTGATATCCAATATCACAAATTGGATTAATCTCGTGAATACAAATCCAAATGTAACTATATGTGTGATCTTGATTGGAAACTAGAGTACAGGCCCAAACCAAGATTAAATAAAAAAATTAATTTATGATATGAAATTTTGAGAAACTAATCATGAGAATGAATTGAATATGAGAATTTTTTGAATGAAAGATTAATTTAATTAAAACAATTTTGACTCTGTTAAAGTCAAACACCCAAAAGTGTGTTGTCGGAAAAAGTATTACAAATAAATATAAAGATTATATCGTTAGATAGAGTTTGATTGTCTTAATGCAATGGTACAAACAGAATTTAATTCAGAGAAAGTTGAGCCATAAAGTGTACCCCGACTAGGACCAAATTAGTCCCGACATGGAAGAATCATATAAGAATTTCCTCAGCATCGCAGCCGGGCGCACTAGGCAATTGACCGCATGAGGAAGAGTAAACTCACTGCTTCTTCATCATCACAACCATTATATAAAGAACACTTCACTTCTCCATTTCTTCACCAATTCTCTCCATTCTTCCTTCTATTCTGTTCTTTATTGAGTGAGGAGTGCAATGATGTTGCCCGAAGAGCTTGAGGTCGCTAGAATATACTCCCTCCGTCCCAGAAAACATGGGAGTTTTGGTTTTGGAGAGGGATTTAAGGAGAGTGTATTTTGGTATTGAATTTCCAAAAATGTTCTTTGATGTGATGGGTAAAAATATGATTTGATGGATAGATTATTAGTAAAAAGGTATGATGTGATAGGTAGGGTATGAAAAAGTAAGGGGTAAGAGTGACTTTTTAATAGAAATGAGAAGTGTTTTTTGGGACGGATGAAAAAAGAAAGAAGAAATGTTTTCTGGGACAGAGGAAGTAATTGAAAGCAATCGTCACCGAAAGTTTCGCCAAAAAATTTCCAAAACCTCTATTTAAGCCCAAGGTAAGCTCTTAGATATATTTGATGATTAGAATGTTCATATAGATCATTTCTACGTTCATAAACAGTCGTTTGGTTGAGCTTTGTGTTTGACATACTTGAAAAACCAAGAATCATAATTCTTGAAGTTGTTGTTCAAACTTCAAATTAATGGTAACAAAATGATCTATGAACCTTAGAAAACATTTCAGCATAGTTTAATTAAAGTTCTATAATTAAAAATGAAATTTTTAAAAATTGGTCCGAGGTTGAAGATGACACTGTTTAAACTACGCGCAGAACAATATCACACTACCTCCCAGACGGTACTTAGGTACCGTCGGTATGGTAGGCTATACCGTTAGAATAGTAGACCCTCTACCGTCTTGGTGCTGCTTCTCTAGCGATACCTAGCTACGGACGGTACCGAAGTTTCGTAACGGGTACCGTTCAGAACTCAATTTTTCCAAAAAATCAATTTTTGAACTATTAAATCCTATTTTTGATATTATTCCATTATGATCAATATGAAAATGATTTCTAGAGATAAATATGATGTTTTGATTAATTCTAATAACTTATTTGATGCATGACGGTAAGGTAAGGTGTTAACACTCGATGTTAGGCCGCTTGTTGTTATGATGATTATTATTGATTAAAAATGACAATTCTGAATGATTAAACCATGATTAAAAGTGAATAGATCGATGATAATGAAAATGATGTGTACTGTTAAGGCTATCTAGAAAAAACTCTAAGATAGACTACTTGTGACCAATTTAGTTAGGCCTTGCGGGTATGACGCCTGGTGGCCAGGGTTAAAACGTACGTACGGGATCCAAAATCAAACTTAAGTATCTATTCGTTTGGGGATACCACCCACAATGAATAGTCCGCTGCTCAGTTTTCTGCCTTAAACTAAATATGGTTTCGGAGTCCAGTTATCTTTTCGCGTTAAACTAATTACAGTTTAAGAGTCCGATTAATATTTTCCTTAAACTAACTATAGTTTAAGAGCCCAATCAATAAAAATGAAATAGCCTTAAACTAGCCATAGTTTAAGAGTCCCGTTACAAGAATATAGATTTGGCCTTAGACTAGGAATAGTTTAAGAACGTTGTTACGATTAGCCTTAGATTAAGAATAATTTAAGAGCGTTGTTGATATTGAGTATTGAATATTGAATCATTGAATTGAATATTATGTGCATGATATCAAATAGTTTAGTTATGAATTGAGATTCAATTTATGTGGATGTTCGATGCATTAGATATCCTTACTCAGCTTTACCGCTGAGCGTGTAGTATTTTTATTTGCTACACGCAAGAAAAACAGAACAAATGATGTGACGTGTTCCTAGCGGTAAATGAGATGAGATTTTCGGGATGGATTTGTTGGTTTTGAATTATTATTTCCAAAGAAATAGATTAATTATGTTTTGTAATTGTGATTTGTTAAGGCTTCTGCAAATTTTAAATACTCTGAATTTTGAAATGTGAATGTATTTTTGGGATGGAGTTTTAACACTATGGTTTGTTCAAGGAATTTCCAAGACTTGAATTTCATGTATCAAATGAAGCCTATGAACACCCACTTTTAAACATGCTTCGAAGGAACTACAGAATTGAACATCTCGGCATACAGTTATAGATTTATAGAAAACTAAACTGACGTACTCCTACTAATGGTATACCTGTATATACTCATTTTGTTCTTTTAAGTTGATTTTGATTTTTTGCTATAGGACTTCAATTAATTATAGAGTTGTGTTTT